TCATTTTTATACCTTTCATGAAAACCATCTATCTTTTCATTAAGATGAAAGAGCAAATGCCTTTGCAGAAAATGATGGTCCAGAAAGCTTATATTTATAGTATTGCCCTGATGCAAATGCGAATGTGGAATTTTGTTCGAGCAGTGCGTTGTTTTTTCCATGAACAGATAGGACGTATAATAGTGAACGAATATCAGGTTTTATTTGATGTCTTTAAATTTATTTACTGCAATTAGCGTGACGTATCGAGAACATGCCTTTGCATTGTCGGTTCATTTGAAAAATGAAAGAAATGAATTGTTAGCTGTGAATAGTGCATATTTATATACTAAACATCCGATATTAAGAAAAATTTGGATGGGATAAAGACAATTGGAGAAGCTTCCCAACTCCATAGGTAAGTGTATTTCATGTGACTTACTTTTTCGTTCAACTAAAATGATTCATCAAAATGATTACTTACGGATTGAAAATTTATAAAACAACTCAGAATTTTCGATACTTTCAGACTATTTTTAAAGTATCTTAAGTCTTAATGTAGGGCTTGAGTCATACACATCGACTCGAGACAGTAGCACAGAAAGTATTTCGATAGGAATTGGACTTAAATCTGTGTCGTATTTTCATCATGGCACATTTACATGTAAATTTTTAGGCAATTTGTGAAAAAATTATACCGTCATTGTCTTTTGGGTCGGAAACATGTGCAACTGTGGAATGTGCTGGATGAATGTTTGATATTAATTACCAAATATCGTCGTTGCAACGCAGAATCATTCAATATACTGAAATTGTTTCAAGTTTTCAATGATTTTCACAGTAATGTGGATTTGTTTTGCAATGGTAAGAATATATCTATTTATTTGGAAGCTTACAAATGTTTCTTACTTCTATTACCGTAATTAAGTAATTAATCCCACCTCCGCTATCGTAATTAAGTAATTGATCATCTAAATTCTCAGATATTTCTTTAATTTGATTCTATCACGTTTTCTTTGTATTTAAATGGCGTTATTTATTATCCGTTTTATTTATTATAAGCAATACATACAAATAGATTATGAATTTCCCAAATAATATGATGTCACCGGAAGTTCGACCATATCAGCAGTAAAAATACATTATCATGACCACCCTATTTATAATCTTTTTAAATTTAAATTTCATAATGTTGTTTTGTATTACCGAATTTTCGGATTTAATATTGGTGTAGTGTTTCCTAATTTTATTTATTTAAATTTAAGAAAATTAAGGTGAATAATTCGTTGAATAACTTCCTTCTTCTGAAAAATAAAATTTGGTCTTACTGGAATAATGGGAAATTGGATGGCAATAATCATTACTTAAGGATTGATAGTTGGAACTGCTTTAATGACATACAATTATAGAATTTCTATAATTTAGGGTTGGCACCATATTTCCATCTAATCTTCATGAAGAAAAGAAAAGAAAAGTGAAGCAGTAATTTTTATCACGGAAAATCTCCAAAAATTTATTTTATTTTCAGCAATAAAAAGAACATCAGTTGGAGCCAATTACTGGCTTTCTGACTTGTTGTTACTGGCCGATTTTCCCGGCATTTACACTGATATGGGTGATGGCAGCTCGTTGGATCAAAATTCAATTACGTTAAATTCTCAAGAATATTGACAAGATTTAGTACGACATACCGATTTTAGGCACATGGTAATTTAGCATATGAAATGTTATATATATATATATATATGATGCTTGAGTGTTTTAGCTTCTTGAATTGTTCAGGAAATCTTCATAAAGCACCATTTGTATTTTAATTCGTATTTTATATCCGTTATCAGTTTTATTGCTAATAAATATGTTTGAAATTGCATACTGAATCAAAAAAAAAAAACATAAAACCGTTTAATTTATTTGGGTTTTAAAATTTCTGTTCTAGAACATATCATAATATATGATGAGGCTTCGTAACACTTGAAATAAATCGTTCATCATCGGACAGTAATTGATGGTATCGTTGATGCGTAAAAATCATCATTTACTTAGTTCAGCTTCCCATCAATCCTGATTTCTAAAAAAAAAAAAATCCAATCAGGAAAATCAGGAACACTCTCCTCTTTTTTCTTCCACCTGTATCTTCCATTTCCGGTTCAGTTCGGCGTTACCTGTTTAACTTTAGAATTTTTTTTTATTATTTATTTCCATAGAATCAAACGAGTAATATTACAAAGCAACATTATTAAACTAAATTAGTAAGCCATAATTATTTTAATATTCAAGTTTTAGAATTCCGATTTTTTGAAATTAATTTCTTTATTTGTTATTTTTGCAATGTTCCTCTAAAACTATTCTTCACATGTTGTATTCATAAATGATACGTTCTTCAATCTTTCCTTTCTCCCTTCTGGTCTTATCTTTAAAATCCATAAATTGCATGATATGCGTAATTTAGTGGACTTCGAAATCGTCTTTGTTCATTCAAAGGTAATTAATTAATGCCTAATTATCTTTCTAGTCTCTCCTTATAATGCATCTTCCTCTAATATTCTCTTTTCTTGCCAATTCATTAAAATATTTTTAAATAATATGATTGAATTTTGTGAAACTGAGAAGATATGAGATTATCTTCATTCAAGTTTCTTAATAAATATTCTCATCAATAATCAAAAAAAAAAAAGAGAAAAGATAATTTAGGTGATAAAATGTTGTCGAGTTTTTCCAGACAAATTATTAACAATTAACAAATGATAAGTGATAAAAAGTTGGGAAGATGTAAAAGATAAGTTGAATAGGTTGAACATTTGAATCATAAAATATTTTATGCAATTTGCATAATTAATTGAAAATTCATTTGTGACTTATAGTTATACTTAAAAGTTGAAGAAGTAAAATGAGAAATTATTTGAATATTTTTAAATATGATATTCATCAGGGTTATATCATTAAAATGGATAAAAAAAAATATTAAGAATTTTTTCGTGCAATTTAATATTACTGAAAAATGAAAAAAGGAAAACAGTAAAATAATCGATTTAAAAATTGGAATATTTAAAGATGAAAATTAAAGTTTAACTAACTAATCAATAACAACAAGAATACATAGCATATACTATTTCATATTTATCATATTTCAATTAATAAATGAAAATTGTATGTTTTCAGGAAAGAATGAATATTAATGAATTTTCGAATTCTATTAATTTAATGAATTTCCCTCACATCATTTTTTTTTCAATATCCGTTAGTTGTTTGAACTAATTGATATTTTCAATTTTCATTAAATGATGACACAATCTCTATCCTATCATATTTTATTATGATAAAATATTTGAATAAACGACGAAGAAGAGGAGAAGGAGGAGGAAATATGATAACTATCAATAGGAATTAGTTTGTCCAAAAATTAATCCAAATTCATTTTTAATGATTTAATTAATTTTTTAAATAATTAAGTCTTTATTGATAATGTATCTTATTTGTATAAATTATCATAGAAAGTAATAATAAAACCTGGTGAGATTATTATATGAAATAATTGGGCAACAATATTTTCTGCTTAATTACAGCTTCTTTATATTTTTAACTTAAATAACTTTATAATATTATTAGTTTAAATAATGTATCAAAAAGTAATCTAATCTTATCATATCATTCCTTTTAGATACTGTATTCAGCAGGATTAACTTTTTACTTTTTATTGTTAAATTTCAAAAGATGCGAAAGAATTTAGTAATTATTTTACCTTCCAGGTACATAAGATAAACAATTGAAGCATCATTTCAACAGATTAACAAAAATTGTAATTGTAGATAAGAAGGATGAATGATTTCCAAAATTTGAAATGCATAACTATTAATTGGTTTTTATCATTTTAAAATTTCAAATCCACAACTTATTATCATCATTATGTTTATATATT